CCCCAGCGTCACCCAGCAGATTTCCTGAGCCTGGGCTCCACGCCCTCCCTCAGTTCCCAGACCAGACGGGCTGCTTCCTGCCTCCCTGCCTTCACACATGCAGTTCCCTCCACCTCGAATGCCCTTCCTCATCCTTCAAACCCCAGCTCGGCTTTAACTCCACTGGAGAACTTTCCCTGAGTCACTTGGGGCTCCCCCTGCATCCTGCACCCATGCCACTCACAGCTGTTTTCTTGATGATGTCCTCACGGGGCTGTGAGGTCTTGCCCTCATGGGGCTGTGAGGCTTTGCCTTTGTGCCCCAGCCCCTGACACAGACAGGTGCTCAGGAATTCCAGAAGGAAGGGAAGGAAACAAAGAAACACCTCTCACAGGACTGGAGAGGATCTGGACCCTGAGCACCTGGCCTAGGACTGGGCCTGGAGCAAAGCCCTCTCACTCCCTTCTTGTTGCCTCCACTTGAGCCTGGGCTCCAGCACCTTCTGCCTCATCTGGATTGAAGCTGGCTCAGGGGTCCTCTCCATACCCGCCTGTGTCTGTTACCCATTTGGATGCAAGGGAATTACACCCGGATGCAGACGTGCACTTGACCTCATAAGGAGACAGTGTGTTTGGGAGAAAGGCCTGCATTCTTGAAATCCCTGACTGTACAAACTTGCGTGGGCCTGAGGGCTGACCTTAAGCAGGGGCTTTCACAGTGAATACTTTCTGCAAACAAAGCCTTACCTGAGGGCCATTATATAAAACAGATGGAAACTGAGCTGCTTGAGGCAAAGTGGTGGGTGTTGAAGGCGCCTGGGAGAGGGGACCAGAGTCCTCTTCCCTGTAGCTCTGGATCCCAGGGAGGTGGGGTTAGTGCTGGTGATGGGATGAGGTGTCCAGGAGAGAGGGAGAGTCCAGTGGCTGATAGTTACTAACTGATACAGAAGGCTTTAGTATTTTCAGAACTGCGTGTTCATGCCAGTGTGGCTGGGCCAACAAACTCTTTGATAGCAAGACGACAACAAAAATGAAAATACGTCCTTTTGAAAAAATAATGACTTCAACCTTTAATGTGCTCAGTTTCTTTTTTTTTTTTTAATCTTGAAGGGGTATTTTAGGGGAAAGTATCTCTTGTGTAGAGGAAATATTTATACGAATTCAGCAGTTCTATCAACTTTTTCTTTTGTGAAATTCAAATAAAATTAAAATTGTATCCAAAATATGATTGTTATGGTTTTTTGTTTTTTAAATATTTTTATTGATTTCAGAGAGGAAGGGAGAGGGAGAGATAGAATCGATGAAAACCATTGATCGGTGGCTGCCTCCTGCATGCCCCCTACTGGGGATAGAACCTGCAACCTGGTCATGTGCCCTGGACTGGAATGAAACCTTGGATCCTTCAGTCTGCAGGCTGATGCTCTATCCACTGAGTCAAACCAGCTAGGGTGATTGTTATGGTTTTATAAAAGTATCTCTAACCACCTCCCCCCCCCAAAAAAAAAAAAAAAAAAGATTAAAACAAGATTGGGCTTCAGCCCAGTGTGTGTGTGTGTGTGTGTGTGTGTGTGTGTGTGTGTGTTTAAGAATTTGCTTTTGACAAAGATAAACCGAAGGATCCAATATAGTCATGTTGAGGGAATTCGGCTGTTCTTTTATAGATGTTGAAGAGCCAGAACAAAGCAACAGTCAGTTTCAAAGTGCAGCTCAACTCCCCCTCAGTTTGTTGTTCTGTTCGTAAACATACAAGCTATTTTCTTTCTTCTGCACAGGGCTCATGCAATATGGAGAATCCATAATAGGTTTAGACCAGATTTATAAATAAATGCGCAGAGTGGTGGTCAAGCCGGAGATCTTTGGGCCTAAGAAAAGATCTCAATGTCCCCGGTTGGAATATTTTTTAAAAGAAGAATCTCTTCAAAGGCCTAAAAGCCAACTGACTTGCCAGCGATAAAGAGAAGAGGCATCTGTTCCCTTAATTGTTAAAACCCATAGGCGTTTGAGATGCCCAGTGACAACAGAGAGGTTTAATCTCCACACAGGGAATGGGAACGATTCTCCGTGGATGGCTCACTGTCTCTGTGTCCAGAAACAGGGGGCTGGCGACAGGGGAGGGGAGAAGCTGGGAAGTGATGCCAGAAAACTCTATTTGGACCGGAAATGGCCACGCTAAAGGTGCTGTGGAACCGCTTGCCTGAAATATTGTTTTGATAAATAAGCCATATCCTTGTGGAATTGAAATCTCCAACTGTTCCACTGGCACGGACATCTCTGCAGTGACAGCACATGCCCCAGATTGTGGAGTTAACTTGAATTAGATTTCAGACGTGGGGGAGCCGAGGGAGGGGGTGGTGGCAGTGGGAGGGTTATGAACAGTATGCTGGGGCTCTGATGTTGTCACAACCAGATGGCTTCGACTGTATCATTTAAACAAAAACAAACACGTCCAGAAGTAATGTAATAATGACAGGAGAAGCGCGGAGTAGCTTCACCACGACCCGAAATCCTAACAGCTTTGTGCCCTCAGTCAAGTCCACGTTAGAAATTCCTTAGAGATTGAAAAATCCTAGAAGGGATCTTCGTCCTGCCAGAAGCCTGGTGCCAGGATTGCTATCCCCTCCCCGAGGACATATTCCTGGAACTCACCAGCCCCAGGCCCATTGCTTTCTGAGAGTGAGGAAGAAAGCAAATCTCAAGTCTGGTTTGTCTTCCGGGAGCCTCTGGAGAGCAAGCAGCAAAGGCACCTTCCCAGAGCTTTGTTCTCGCTGTTCCCACAGGAAGGAGCTTTACCTGGAGTCCATGAACACTTCAGAAAAGGCACTTCCTACAGTTACTGACAATCTTCTCAGGGCTCTACATTAGAACTGTCACTCAACAGTTCTGTGATCTTAGCGTGTCATGTGACTTCTCTGGGTTTCCACATCGCTCATCTATAAAATGGGAGGATGCTATCACTTGTCTTACCGAACATCAAGCTGTTGGGAAGTTCCAATGAGATACTATGCACAGGAGGTACACTGAAAACTTGAGAATTGCTGAGCAAATGCAGTCACCGAGGGACAATGTGGGTGCAGGAGACTCTGCATGCCCTGATCCCCAGAACTGTGTGCTGATCTGGGAAGTGAGGACCAAGGAGGCACAGGGACAGCAGCCAAAACTTGGAGAACTGAGTGGCTGCTCACATAGGTGATGCTTAGAAGGACAATGAAGAGTGCAATGCATTGGTCGGTGTCCAATAAGCAAGTCCTATCTTTGATTATGTTGATAATAGATCTTATTTACTTCATTTCAAGGGTGGCAAGATAAATGAAAATTAGAATATTTGCAAAGGCTAAAGTCACTGGAGGGAATTGGAAGGTGAAATATGTCGAGTTTCCATCTAAGGTCAAATAACACATACCTTGGCCACATGGCCAATGCGTTTCCCAGGGTATCCCACCTTCCGGCCCTCATTGCTATGGCCAAGGCCGAAGAGGAGCCCAGAGCATTCCTGTGAGCTTGCTGGGAACCCAGACATCATATCAAGTCAGTGACAGAACCAATCAGAGAAAATTACTTCCCTTTATTTAATGTCCACATTCATGTACCCTGGATCTTTTTATATGTCACTGGGAGGACACTGAGAGCAGGTTTTAGAACGTGTAGGTGCAGAAAGCCCATTTCCATTGCTTGTCTTGTAGAGGCAGGAGCCTGATCCGCCGTAGGATATGGATTGTGAGATCCTCAAGGACAAGACTGGCAGATGCTGGTAGCTCACCAAGGAACCTGAGATTGGGGAGATGTAATAAACCCCGCCGCTCAGACCTTTCCAACATTCTCTCTGCAATCTGCAGGATCAAACTAGGCCTTCAAAATCCCTTCCAGAACGCAGACCCCAACACCAATCAGATGAGTGAAACAAAAGACCAGAGATACCACACAGTACAAAATAGTCATTATTTATATTTTCAAAAAGAAAAAAATTAACATTTGGAAGTTCTCCCCTGTAGGAAGAGGAGTGAATTGGAAGGAACAGGACTGGCTCCTATGCAGGTACAGGTACGAACAGCTGAGCAACCGGGGCTGGAATTTTTTTCACACAGCGTTAACAATAAAATTTCCTTTTCTTTCCACTTCTTTTTATGTTTGTGTTGTTTGTTTTTTGTTTTTGTTTTTTAGAAAAGGGGGGAGGAAGGAGAAATAAAATCAGAGAAAAATGCCAAGAAAACATTTTCCACAATATCTAAAAACAGCTATAGTTCTTGTCAAGACAGTATGAATTCTGGGTGAATTATTTTTTCCAGTTTTCAACACCAATAAAGATTTTTTGCAAAAGCCACCACATCAGAACACTCATCTTCCAGATCAAATAACCTCCTTCCCCTTTCGCCTTCACTTGTCGTTTTTCATAAAGGGATAAAAGGATGTATTCTGTTCTTGCAAACAGTAAGTGCTAACAACCAGAGAGCTCTTCTGATACTTATATGGCGGTGAGAAGTTTTCACAAATATCCAAGTTTTAGCACAGTTGGATGGACTAAAATTTCTCTCAATATAAATAGTACTGGAATCCACAAACTGATCTTTGAGAAATTCTGCAAAAATCCTTTCTTGTTTCCTTTTCTTTCCCCTTCTCTTAAAACTAACTGTCCTTCCTTTATTTTTTTTCCTTTTTGCTCCAGGCACCTGACGATTTGTTCTGCTCAGTCAGATGCAGACAGGTTTCTCCAAGTACCACCGCAGGGCTGTCCTCAGGGCCAGCGCCCGACCGAATCCCCACAGGGTCAGACTCGGCCAGGCCAAAGGGAACACAGTGACGCAGCAACAGGGTTTTCATTGGGTCGAACAGCCCCGAGTCCCCGGCCCTTCCCTCCCCCCACATCCCCAAGTTTATTTAGTGCTGTTTTAAAAGTCTGCGGCCGAGAGGCAGTCTTCCCCCACAGCAGTCAAAGCTCCACAGATCGCGCTGTCTACCTGGTGGTCGATGGCAGCAGCAGTGGCTGCTGCTTCTGGAAAGTGAACGGAGTCTAACAACAGGCAGGTCTTAGGACTGCTTCAGGCGCTTGCGTGGGGGTCCCAGAAAGGGGCACTGTGCTGAAGCCAGGGAGCGATACGCCTCAGCCACCAAGTGGGGATGTGACACCACCATCGCCTTCCACCCCGAGGTCTCCAAGACATCCGAGGCGTGACTAGGAGAAACGTGAGAGATGGGTTACCAAACGAGGGAGTGAAGGATGGTTACACAGCCGCCTAGACAGCCTAATTTCCCAGAGTTTGCTGTAAAGGGGGCCAATGCAGGAAACACTCCGACAGAAAACCCTTTATATGCAGGAGACTTTGCTTGATAGAAGGTATGCAGACCGCTGACCAGATTGTGGCTGTTGTGACTCTGAAAACCAGGACTTAGAGCTACTATATTACTAACTACAACATGAAATGTCCCTCAGGCTAGTCTCTACACTGTCAAAGCTCTTTACCTTTTTAAAATCCTCACCCCAGGATATGATTTATTGATTTTAGTGAGAGGGGAAGGGGGATGAAGCGAGAAACATCAGTGAGAGAATAAACGACTGGCTGCCTCCCATACACTTGCACAGGGGCTCGAACCTGCAACCTTTCCGTACACGGGATGAGGCTCCAACCAACCGAGCCACACCTGCCAGGGCTGTCAGTGCTCTTTATGTTGCTAATGAGACAAGAGACAGCTTGGAGCTTCCACCTGGCTCTGCCATTTTCTAGTGCCCTAACCAGGAGCAGAGCAGGGCCTGGGTCTGTCTGAATGAAAAGGAGGGGATCCTAACCGCACTTCCTTGAATGGTTCAATCTACAAAGCACCAGGCAACTGTCCACCTCAGACTGAGCACTCACTGGGACCATCAGTTGGTGGTCTCCTCTTTTTCCTCAATTGGCAACTCTTTCAAAACAATCTTACAAACAGCCTTAGAGGGCATCATTTCCTGACTTGGGGCATTTTTTGAGATGAATAACATTCACTATCTGCCTGGCCACCTCTGAGACCAGTGGTCGCCAACCTTTCAGGCCTCACGGACCACCAGTGATCGGCGGACACCGGTTGGCGACACAGTCTTAGACCCATCTCTGAGGTTGTTGTGAGAACTGCTGTTGTGAGGGTTTTATGAAGCCTGCTGCTCTCTTTTGGGTTTTCTCTAATTGCTGTTCCCCCTCAGGCAAGGGAGTAGAACATGCCCTACTGAGAATTACTTCAGAAAGTAATACGGCCAGGGCATTTGTCATTTAAGATTGAAGGAACAGATCTACTGGAATGAACATTTCTTTCTCAAAACAGTATTTAACAACCTCATCTACTGATGACCCCTTCTCTTTTCCTCATTCCACAATGGAATATTAGATATATTTTACTAACTCATAAACACACTCTCTGTTCACCCAGAGATCTGCATGCCTTTCATCAGGCCAGTGCATATGAAGTAAAAATGCTATCATTTGGGGAACACAGCTTCTCCCAGCCAGCACATTATCATGTTCATCAATCTGATCACTACAAGGAAGTAAAACCTCACTCAGCAATCAAATTAGACCCATGAAAACAAAACCATGTTCCACACTGTCAAGATGAAGGGAAAGATGAAAACTATATTTACTACTAGGAGTTAATGAAGCTTCTCGTCTATTTTATTCACTAATTCAAAGTCTTTTCACTTCTCTAGCTATCCCGACTACCCTGAAAGAACTTTGAAGATGCCAACTCACTAGTTGATGAAATCCACTGCCTGCGTTTTCAATTGATCTGCGCTGTGGAGGTCAGCCAAGATGAGAATCTCTGCGGCGTTCTCCACAGAGAGGTTACTGCAGAGGGCATCCTCACACATGACCTTTAAGCGCTCCAGGGCGTACTGTAAAACACAAGCACTGCTGTCAGAGCAGGAATGGCTCCGGGCTGGCCGCTGCTGAAGCTGTGCCATCATGTCACGGATACCTGAACAGAACTGTGCAGACTGTGAGAAGGCTAATACTGCAATTATAAAACACAACCATACTCCAAATGCTGAGTTGAAGACAGCTAAAATAACGTGCATACCTACTGTTCCAGTTCTACAGTATACCTAGGAGAAAAATGGCAATTATGAAATAGACCCACATCCTCACGTTTACCTGTCCGGATATTATTCAAGTGTTTCTTAAACCATCACTCCCCACCCATACAATGACGGATCACCCTGCTTCGGGTCACCAGGGACATGACATGCTCAGCGCCTGCAATCCTTTCATTCAGAGCCGCACAGGGTGAAGCCCAGTCACCGCACGGCAAGATACCCGACTGGGCCCCGGAAAGGCGGTGGAAAGGAGCCCTGAGGTGACTTCACCAGCATCTCTGCCACTAGTTGTTCCTGAAGGAGGGTCAACCCCAGCCTCTTTCAGCTAGAGGGAAAATGGAGTCCTATTTTATTGGGGTTGAGGTTAAGATTCTCAGGGTAGAAAAACAAAGCAACAAAGACCCTGGGATCCAGTTTCAGTCTAAAATATCTTCCAAGCAAAGGGTATAAATGTTTTATAAATGAAAGTCTAGGTTAATATTGGGCACATTTCAATTAGCTGACTTGTTTTGACGCAACTGTACTCCTTGCTCTCAAACTTGAGATTATGAACTTACTAAAGAACTTCAAGGATGAGGAGGAGGAAGGCATAAAAGGAGGCACAAAATAAAATGTCATTAATCAGTTTACAGAAAAGGGGTTTGGTTGAGGGTCTCCAGTCCCCCTGTAGGTCCCATCTTAAGGGGCCTTAGAACTCAATGGCACAATATTCCTCTAAGCTGAATCATGGCAATCAAGCCAGGCCAATTTTATTTTTATGAATTCTGGGTGAGGAGGTATATCTGCTGGCACTATGATCTCCTGCAGCAAAAAGAGAATTTTATTGGTTTTGGTGCAGCTTTAATTTTTACATTTGAGTAACTGGAAAACAGTTTCCATGGAAAAGAGGAATGACACTAGACAAGCAAGAAATTAGGTTTTTGTTTTAAAAGGCTGGAAAAGGTTTGGTAAATGTTCAGTTTTTACACAGTGCTGCACAGAATATTCCTTTTATCCTTTCTCAATACATTCTTTAAAAGGACTTTTACTGTGAATAGCTCTGATCCCTACTGCATAATTAGACAAAAGTAGCCACTGCTATCCCTTGGGAGACAAAGTTTTTTTCTTAATTATACTTCTGAAAAACCTGCCTAATGGCAGTACTTACCCGAGAGATTGAAATTGTGTCTCCCGGCCTGGCCAACGTGTTTTGTTTTGTTTTTGGTCTAATTACACATGTCCCCAGGAGACTGAAAAGCTCAGAAGAAGCTGTTGCAGCCTCTTGGGTAAATTCTAGATGTTTAGATCCTTCCATGAAAGATTTTTTATTCTGTTTTCCTGAAGCTTACAAGGAGGTATAAAGGTAAGAATATTTTCAAATAAGCTTGGAGCAAACAGTGTCTAATGGGAAATTCTGAATGGAATTTGAAAACACACCCTTCAGTTATTTCTCATTCATAAATTTAAAATATTACTGTGATTCAACTGCTTTTGCTTTTAAAATCCCAAGTTAACACATTGTACCAAAAATACCACCCTTAGAATATCCTTCAGGCTGATCCCTATACTCTGAACTCTGATAATAGTATGTTCCCAGTAAGTTCTCTGGTTGAGGAGCAGAAATGAAAACCCAGGACACATATGTCTAATCCTGGCTCTAAGAATATACAACCCTGAACCTTAGTATTTCTGTCTAAAAAGTGGGCTTTTGGATATTACTCATCCTTATGGGAACTAGAAGATGAGAGGGAGATAAATGCCTGTGTATAAGCACCAAGTGACTGCTTCATTGAAAATTAGTGGGCAGATGAGTCAGAATCACTATAAAATTCGTATTTATAAAAAGCAAGTATTGGGCACTAGCCAGTTAGGCTCAGTGGATAGAGCGTGGGCACTCAGACTTAAGGATGAAAGGTTCAATTCTGGTCAAGGGCATGTACCTTTGTTGCAGACTCAATCCCTGGCTTGGTGTGGGTGAGTGCAGGAAGCAACCAATCAATGTGTGAGACACATTGATACTTCTCTCTCTGTCTCTCCCCCTCCCTTACATGCTCTCTAAATATCAATGGAAAAAATATCCTTGGATGAGGATTAACAACAACAACAAAAAAAACCCCAGCAGGTATTGGGCTGTGTGCCTTCAACTTCCTCCGAGCTCACAATGTATATTTCCTTACTGTCTCCACTGGAAGCAAGTTTCCTCTGGTCAGGGCTGAGCTAGACTGAAAGGGTATGTGATGTTCGCATTGCTTAGCTGTACTGATTCAGTCTTAAAATGTAATATGCAGGATACAGTATTATTCAATCCTTTTCATCTGTAGCATTGATTGGGTTTACATGCCTTATCCTCTACTAACACTCCAAAACGCTGATCAATAAAGACAAAGCCTCCACTGTAAATACAGATACTTTCCTCTGTCCTCAGGGGTGCACAGGAAGATGGAAGGAGACTAGTTCCACGAGCAAAATCCTGAAAAGGCTCTAGTGCCTTTACGTCCAAGCCAGAGCCTCAGATGGCACTGCAGCATCCTGGCAGAAAGAAGAGACACTTCCAGCAGAGAGCCATCTTTCTCAGAGGGTCAACTAATGGATGGGTTTAAGTCCTTTGACATTCTTACTGCAACCCCCCTTCCCAACACAAGAAAGCTCCCACAGGATAAACAGTAATCACACACACACACACACACACACACACACACACACCCCCGTCATGACCACAGGGCTTGGAGGACAGACAAGTCACTGAGCTCTCTTTTTTTAATGTATTTATACAATGAAAGTCAGTTTCCCAAAGTGTGCTTTGGGGAACACTAATCCAGGGGTGATCTTTCAGGAAAAGAATTCCAGAATTAACTAAATTGGAGAAATGCTATGATAGTGAACATGAACATACTAAAGGTTTGAGAGATCCTGCAATAAAATAGCAACAATACACAAAACCTAACATTTCACTTGGTTAAACTCAGTGTTTCATTGGGATTGAGCCTGCAATTGAGGTACATACCTTTCCCCCACCCTAAGCTTATTTTGGGAACCACTGGTCTGCTATTTTAGATAATCACATTTCCTTGCTAAGATCCACATTTTCATTTTCACCTTTTAACATTTCTCAAACCACAATGTATCTTACAATCAAAGTATACATTTACTGTAGTAGTAGCTCTCATTTCCCAAAGAGCTAATTAATCATCTCACAATTTTGAATATTTCAAAAACTACTTAGGGGAAAGTTAAAAATGCCAACCAGGACACTGGGGGGAAAATTATCCTCCTATGGAAAACGTTTAAATAAAAGTTAATAAACCCAAGAACATTTTATAAATTATAAAGTCAAATCATAAATTCAAATGTCAGTCTTAAATATCACTATGGTTAAATCTGGAGGTGATTTAGCAGACTTCTTCTTTTCCATAGGTAGAGTGACCATATATAACTTACCATTCAAAGCAGGATGCTTCTGAAATTAAAAAGGGTGCTATCGATAATTGGGCTGCAGCACAAGTATAAAACAGGACTGTCCAGCCAAACTAAGATAGCTGCTCATCTTACTTACTGATGCAGCACAGAAGCCTTGCCACGAAACTCAAGAAGTTACAGAAACTCCTAGTTTTGTGATTATTTTTCTATTCCTATCTCACCTTGTCAGCAGCTGCCAGCAAATCATCAGCCATTTTGTCCAGGTTCGGAGCTTTCCCAGTGTAAATGAAGCACATCATTTCCTTAAAAACTTCAGGCTCCACATCATTGATTTCAACCCGATTCTATGCCAGAAAGACTGAAGTCAGAAACATTCCAGCAAAACAAATTCCCTAAACAATTTTCATAATGTTAAGCTCTGGTGAGGAGAGAAGCTTGTATCATTTAAAACTTAACATGAATGGAAAATTGCTCTTTGCCATATTTGATTTTAATATTCTCCTTCATATGTACCACCTTTGTTTTCAAAGACAGCTATAGCTTTCATTTTTTTAATCTTTCTTTTCTTGAATAGAAACACATATCTAATATCCTCACCCCAAATCCTTTGGATGATCTGCCTGGGAGAGAGTGAGTCTCCTTTACCTAGAATCCTCTGGACCACATCTCTCCACTCTCACAGTGTCCCTTCAGGGAATTTGTACTCCATTTCAGTACCACAATAAGATAATTAGGAAAATAAATCTGCGGCCAAATTGGAAAACTCATCTGAATCTAGTCACCTAGCTAGAAGACGTACTTTTATCCTGATACATACCTTTTTGCTCTCCTCCATTTCATGTTCAAACATGGCACTAAAAACTGGAGAACGAGCTAGAAAGTGAATGGCAACAGAGACAGATGTGGTTATCACATTGTAATCGCGTGGCTCTTCTGTTATGTAGAAGAGGACATTTTCCTTCCTGTCGCACTGGTTCAGGAAAGGGTCTTAGCCTCAAATTATACCAGAATTATAAAATTCATTTCTCTTTATATTATACCAATAAGTTAGTAATTATAATACATAGTTAAAAAGAGGAAATTGCTACTTTCAAAATAATTTATTAGCTAGATTCCAAACATCCATATTTTAAGGAAATTACTCAAATTTATCTATATGTTGGATGACAATGATATTCTCTGGGTAGATTGGGGGTTCAAATGGAAGGTCTTTAGGGTCCTAAGCAGGATGTCTTGATACCTACATTTGTGCCTGGAAAAAAGACACCTATTTTCCCCACTTCCAGGGACCACACAGCAAGGAGGCCCAGAACAAGGCTCAAAAGCATCCACTAACTAGATGAGATGCATGCTCATTTACGTCAGGTTCTCTGGTCCTTCCAGCCTTGCATTCTCAACAGAGATGGTAACTTCCCAAAGATGCAAGAAAAAGAAATCTTAGGGATTACATCATTTGTAGCCCTTCAAAGCTCAACCCTAATAAAAAATAAAAGATTAAAAAAAAAGCTCAACCCTACCTAACAAAATCTTATTCCTTAGTATTTAATGTCTCTCACTGGAGGTAATTTAATTTTTTCCTTAGGGATGGGAATAACAAAAAAAGGTTAAGAAACAGTGTTCTAAGTCATGCCCAATTCTAGTCTAATGAACACTATAAATAATAAGTAAACTTAATTTCAACCATGAAAGTAATAAAATGGCTAAGAACTCAAATCTTATCATGTTGTCCGACAAATCAGAGATTTGGTGAAAGTAAAGACTACCAATCTGTACCTGAGAGAGGAAGAATAAATGGAATATATATACCTTTCCATAGGTAGAGTGACCATATATAACTTACCATTCAAAGCAGGAGCTAACAAGTAACTGGAACTTAGACCTATAGTTTATGTTAGAAGAAGGACTAATTTTAGATCTGCCATTTTTTAACCACACAATCTTGGGCAAATCATTTAAACCCTCTGAGCCTCAATGTTTTAATCTATTCCAAAGGATATTAATTCTCCTTGTTCTTGTCTCAGAAGGGTACAGACTAAAAGGTACTAAATAGATACATTATAGAAATTGAAGACTAAAGGGCTGGTGCTTTTCATAAAGAGGGAAAGGACCAAAGCAGTGATTTGCTTAGAGGGTCATCATTGGCTAGACAGACGCTGAGGTTATGAGAATAATAAAATCACCCAGAGAGAATAAATAGAATGAAAAGAGAACTGAGGGAACACCAATGTTTAAAAGGATGCATGAAGAAGAGGGAGGCCACACATCAGAGGTAGCCAGAGAATCAGAAGAAAACTAGAATAAAGGAGCCAACTAATATATGAACAAGAATCCCTTAAATATAAGAACTAGCCGGCCATATTGCTTTGGAAAACTGCTTTCATTGCATGTAGATGAACTGAGGATAATGGGAGGAGAGAAGTTGAGACAGTAAATATACTGTCTAAATTAAGAAATTCAGTTCTGAGACAGAGATACACACACACACACACACACACACACACACACAGACACACACACACACACATAGAGAGAGAGAGAGAGAGAGAGAGAGAGAGAGAGAGAGAGAGAGAGAGAGAAACTAGAGGGAGAAGCCTGAGCCTGTTTACAGACTGAGGGTAAACAGGCAATAGGAGAGAGACAGTTGATGAAGATACCAGATAACAAAGGTGTAAGTGGCAGAGTAAGAAGAAGGCAGCCGAAACCGGTTTGGCTCAGTGGATAAGAGCGTCGGCCTGCGGACTGAGGGGTCCCAGGTTCAATTCTGGTCAAGGGCATGTACCTTGGTTGCGGGCACATCCCCAGTGGGGGGTGTGCAAGAGGCAGCTGATCATTGATGTTTCTAACTCTCTATCCCTCTCTGTAAAAAAAAAAAAAAAAAATATATATATATATATATATATATATATATATATATATATATTTTTTTTTTTTTTAAAAAGAAGAAGGCAGTATGGGATATGAAATAGAACAGAAGTAGAAAGTACAGTGCTCTGGACACAAGGAAGAGCACCCTTCCATGGAGAATGCAGGGAAAATGCAGGGAAAATGAGAGAGAGGCAAGAGCTAAGGGACAGAGCCTCAATTTTCTCTTGGAAGAAGTAGCAAGCCCTCTTTTAGAAGTTGGAGATTAAAGGAGAATAGTAAAGTTTTGAAGTAGCTGTTGTTGAGAAAAAGAAAGAGAGCTGACTAAATGTAGGAAGAGTTCTTGGCAGTGCTGAGGGCCTGAGTATGGAGCGCCAACCTAAGAGTTGATGACCTCCTTTGGCAATACACGGTAACATCTAGTTCAGAGGGGGAACAGAAAGATGGTTAGATTGAGAAAGAGTGAGGTTTTGCCAGGTGTGTATTTTAGAATAGAGCTGAGAATCTTGGTAAGAAATCTGTTGCTGAAGATTCATGCTATTTCCTTTTATGTCTTAGGGCCTGAACAGAAGTTTGTGGCTGACTGCTATGCTTTCACGTGAGGTCAAGTCAGCCTGCCTTATCAGTTTCCCTGTGTCAGTCTTTCTAGTCTCAAAGACAAAGCGCCTATTATTAGAATAAGACCTGATCCTCCATGTCACTGGCAACATTCTTATCCTTCTAATATGTTTATATGGAAGAGAGGGCTAAGGTCTCAAGGGCGGGGAACTTAACTAGCACGTAGTTTATCCCGAGTCCAGAATCCTCTGTTATATCCTAAGTCCCTGTGGAGGGACTAATACTTGGTCCTAAGCAGTGTTTTGACATCTGTTCTCTAGGTGCAAAGGCATTCAATACATATCATCATCCATTCCTTAAAAATGGTGGCCTAAGTCCTCTACAGAGAGGAATAAAAATACCATTTTTATGCAGAGTTGCCTTTTTTATTATGACAACTAATATCACCACAATATAAAAATATAGTTAGTTGCAATTTTTTTTCACTAGTTCAAAAGGCTGAAGTTATTCAAAAGGTCATGATGCAGCCACTGGTTTGCCTTGTTTCACCAAAACAAACGCTCCCACGAATAGATACCTGCTAAGATTGCTTTGTGAGCCTGGAATTCCTGGCCAGCAACACACAAACAACAGTCTGTGAACCTGGAATTCTCCCAAAGTCCTCCTAACTCATCTGCCAACCGGCACTCGGGAACCTTCACCATATTCATGGTATTCTGGCCAGAAATGTTGACGGAATCTTGCACCACACTCACCTGTAAAGACAAGGAAACAGTCCAAAGCTTTTGTTAACAGGAATTTTCTCCCCAGGAGGAAGAGAGATGATTTTTACCTCATTCAAATACTAATATTAGCCATATTCTCTTGAAACCACCTCCACAAATCAAGGCTTTATCCTCTGGATCACGTAATTTTCAATCTATCACAATTATACTTAATCTACACCATCTCAGGAAAATAGGGAGACAGGCTCACAAATCTCCTTCTCCTCCAACTTCTTATAAGCCTCACCTCCCTTTCCCTGAAAACCTGGGCAAAACCATCATAAGGAAAAACTAAAAGAAACAAATGTTAAACCTCGAGTATTTATCTTATTCTGCCTTAAGGTTAAATACAAAGAACTCCTATAGAAACTGCCATTTAAATTAAACTCTTTAGAGAGAAAAATCTAGTACACCTCACTTACTTTAGTTAGGTCTGGAACAGGAAAATAAAATGTGACTTCCACAGGGCCTGGTAAGTAATTGGCACTTCCCTGCAAGCGTTAATGTAGTGAACAGGACTAGGCTGGGAAGATGTTTCTGGTAGAGATAATTGTATGGGTATCCCACACCATCTATACCCGTACTCAGTCATTTGTGACAATGAAATACAAGATGGCTGGCTTCTGCTCGACTTGCACTCAGAGCTTTGGAATGGAATGATGAGAATAGGTTTAAAGAGGGATCCAACTTGCCACATGGCTTCAGCAGCAGATTTTCACCCGTTGAATTAACGATTCAATTTAGTTTTAAAACAAAACAAGGAAACTTCTAGATGGGTCAGTGAAAGTCAGGTAAGTTTGTTAATATACCAAACACAAGAATTTGTAAATCATATGACATTACAAAATAAATTTAAGTTACCAAACTGAAGCAGATCAGTCTTCCTTCCGCCTAGCAACCACTGCTATACTTCATCCCCTATCGATATATCGTAACAGGTTAGAAATGTTAAAATCAAAGTAGAATTCATAAGCCCTGAGAATCAGCTCCCCCATTTTGCTATTCTGGTAAGTTAGTTGAGAAAGGCAGCTTAGGACATCCTAAATGACCCAAATTTCTTTTAACCTTCAAGACAGAAGCCATCCCTTACATGCAGTCATAAACCCCGAGGCAAAGTTAATGCCCCATCCAAACGGCCCGCAGTCCCTTCTGTGCGGGAGCAAGATATTTATTACCAGGTCAAGAAATTTATTCATTTGTTTAAAATGAGCTGTTATAGTCTTGAGCAATGAAGCAGCCAAGTTAATCAATTATGAATGTGCTTAGCATTAGCAGCACATTTATCAGAGCCAGATTATAACATTATTTTAATAGCCTGAGACCCAGCACAAACTACTGCTCAGATTCTCTCCTGTCCTGTGTAAGATCTCTAATTTGGGTCAGCCATTCTCTCATATTAACACTCTTATTTCTTTTTTTTTTTTTTTTTTTTTTTTTTTTTTAAATAAGTTTTTATTCATATTATTACAAATGTTCCTTCCCCCCCCCCCCCCCACCATTGCTCTCCTCCACCAGGTTCCCACCCCACCCTCTGCCCTTTCCCCACTCCCCATTGTCCTCATCCATAGGTGCACAGTTTATGTTCAGTCTCTTCCCACATCCCCCTCTCCCCTTTTCCCCAAGAATCATCAGTTCACTCCCCTTCCATACCTCTGATTCTATTATATTCAACAGTTACTATTGTTCATCAGATTTTTTTTTTAATTTCCTTGGTTTTTAGATTCACTTGTTGATAGTTACATATTTGTTGTTCATAATTTTTATCTTTGTTTACTTTTTCTTCTGAAAGAACTCCCTTCAGCAACTCATATAAGTCTGGTTTGGTGTTGATGAACTCCTTTAGCTTTTTTTTACTAGTGAAGCTCTTTATCTGACCTTCGATTCTGAGTGATAGCTTTGCTGGATAGATTATCTTTGGCTGTAGGTTCTTACTATTCATCACCTTGAATATTTCTTGCCATTCCCGTCTGGCCTGCGTGGTTTCTGTTGAGAAGTCAGCTGACAATCGTATAGGTGATCCTTTATAGGTAACTACCTTCTTTGCTCTTGCTTCTTTTAATAGTCTCTCTTTGTCTTTTGCTCTTGGAATTTTAATTATGATTTGTCTTGGTGTGGTCCTCTTTGGATTCCTTTTGTTTGGAGTTCTGTGCGCTTCCTGGACTTGTAAGTCTAATTCTTTCCCCAGGTGGGGGAAGTTTTCTGTCACTATTTCTTTCAGTATGTTTTCGATATCTTGCTCTCTCTCATCTTCTGGGACCCCCATAATTCTGATGTTGGTTCGCTTGAAGTTGTCCCAGAGGTTTCTTATATTATCTTCAATTTTCTGGATTCTCTTGCCTTCTAGCTTCTGTGGAGGAGTGTCTTCTGGCTCTTTATGTTCCAAATCTTTGACTTGATTCTTGCGATCTTTCCTTCTGTTTTTAGGACTCTGTAAAATATTTTTTATTTCAGACAATGTATTCTTTATTTCTTGTTGTTCCCTTATCATTTCTTGATGACTCCTTATTAATTCTAGTTGATTTCTTTTCATGTCCTCATAGGTCTTATCCATCTTTTCTAGGAAATTCTTGAAAAACCTTATAAGCGTAGATTTGAACTCTATATCCAGTCGCTTTTTGTCCTCCATTTCTTTCGTTTGTGATCTATTTGGTTTAGGCATTTTCGCAGGCAGCTTTCCTGATGGGGCGGAGTTTCAGGGTGGAGCCTACAGCTTTGGCTTCCGTCAGCCCCGCCCTATGCAACTCCTGAGACTCAGGGTCCTTCAGTACTTGTTGTAAGCGCCTCTGAGAGAAAGGCGCCCTCGATTTTCGCCTGCTGCCAAACAGTCAATGCTCTCCCCCAATGAGCTCGGTATTAGGGTTCAGTTCAGTTGGAAGTGGAGTTGGAGGTGGCGTTCAGAGCAGACTGGAGCCCCTGTCTCCTTCCCGCCAGGGCAATCCCGCGGCACAGCCGGCCGTCCCTTCTCTGCACGCACTGGGCGCCACCGCCGGGACCTCCTTTCGCCTCTTCCCCGGGTTCCGCCTCGCAGCCCAGCTCCCTCTGGCTGAGCCTGAGTCCCCGGGGTCTGGCCTAGGCCTGGGGTTCAGAGCAGTCGGGGGGCCCAGCACAGTCGGAGCGTTTATCTCCTTCCCGCCAGGGAACGCCGGCCAGGCACTCAGCCGCCCTCCTCTCCGGCTCCGTCCTCTCCGCGCGCGCAGCGTGTCTCCGTACCTTGGGCTTTTCCAGCTCCTCCGCGCTTCCTTCTGGTTATCTCCTTGCTTCTCGTTGTAGAATTTCCAGTCAGTCAACTTTCCTGTAGTTCTGGGTGATGTCCATTTTATATTTTAGTTGTATTTTATTGATATTGTTGTGTGAGGCTGCAGCTAGGTATTCACCTGGGCGCAGCCATCTTGGAGGAGCAACACTCTTATTTCTTTGATATAATATTAATATCCAAGAAGAAGATGCCTATTTCCAGTAATAGCTTAAAAATACCGCTGATTATTATTATTTTTTTTAAAGAAAAGACCAAGTAAATTCAACTTCCTCATAGAGAAAGGCACGACTCTCTTGGGATGACCAATGAAGGGAATGGAGAATACTTTTGGCACTATGTCCTAAGCCTGAATTAAACCAGGCTCAGAGGAGCCCAAAGTTATTAACACTTGATGGCAATTCACTAGTCTGAGTAAAATGAATTGGCAAGAGACAAAGTGATTTCAAACTATGGTTACCACAGACCCTCTGCTGGTTAAATGCATGCTTGGTCATGAGTGGGGCACCCAAAACTGTGACTCCTCTTGCAGGGACAATTCCTCTCTCTAGACACAAATAGGAACGCAGCAGGAAGGAGAATGTACCTTTACTGTCTGAGCCAGACTTGTTCTGTAGATATATGGATGCCTAGAGTCTCCAGAGCTCTGAATGTCTGGCACCTCTCACCAACATTAAATACGCTTAATTAAAAATAAATTTTAAATGGCATTCACAAATGAGTCTTCAGAGCCCAAACTTTTAACTTAGAAAGGGATTGTTTTCCTCTGCAAATGATGCTGCTAAAATGAAACCATTTTGAGAAAAACTAAAGATTTTTTTAATGCCTATAAAGTTGACTATGGAGACTCATTCAGAATTACAGCTGCGAAGATGACGTGACTGTGACATTTATGCCGTCTTACAAATGACTGCATGAAAATGTCTCAGGAAGGCTGTATAACCCTCTAAATTTCAAGCTGTAAAAGGGCCTCACTTTTACAGTCAATTACTTTTCTTAAAAAACAAAATTTCATAAAAGACTAAAGATTGTGCCAATTCTTGAATATTTTACTTAAACATAAAAAATAAAACCAATGGAAATATATTTTTTAACTTCTATATCATTAAAACAATTGAGGGGGGGGAGGGAGACTCTGCATATAGACTGTTTATAGCAGCAGCATTGTTTCTAATCAAAAGACTAGCAACAACCTAAATGCCCATCAACAAGAGAATAAATAAACTGTTGCATGTTCACACAAATATGACACAGCAGTTTACTGGTCTGAGTGAAATGAATTGGTAGTGAAGTGGGGCAGCCAATGAATTGTAGTTACATCCACAATATAAATTTTAGAAGCATAATGTAAAAAAAGCAAGCCCTAGATGACTACATACTTTCTAATGCTCAAAGCCAATTAAATGTAAACAACATATTATTCAGGCTACAAATAATAAATGAGGGGATGATAACATATAAATCAAATAGTATATCCTGAGGGAGGAAGATAATAGGTTTAAGGAATAGGGGAGAAACATATAAGTTAATTCCAAGCTACTGCTGGGTTGGCTGTAGTTTACTACATTATCATATTTTATAATCTACTAGAGGCATGGTGCACAAATTTGTGCACACGTGGGTCCTGGCTGGCTGGGGGGAGGGGCCCAGGGTGGTTGGCAGGCTGCCCCTGACCTTGATTGGGGTGGGGGCAATCAGTGACAAGGCTGGCCAGGGGAGGATCTATGGGCTTTTGGCTGGCTGGCCCTGTCCCCCTGGTTGAACTCCCAGTTAAACTCCCAGTTGAGGGGACAATTTACATATTAACCTTTTATTATATAGGATAATAATGTTACATATTAAATCATTATTTTTGTAGAACAAAAACAATCAAATATTGGCATTTTGATACAGTTTAACTAAAATATCCAAATAATTCATTAATATAAAGGAAAGAAATGAATAGATCCTTGTAGGGCATGGCTCTAGGGTCAAGCCTCGGGCTGACCTATGGCAGGGCCACAAACAAGTCCCAGCCTGGAGGGCACAGCTCTCCTAGCATTGTTGAGCCTGACCTTGTAGCCCTCCCTAGTTCCTTCCTAAGTAGCTAATGGGCTGTGGGAGGTGCAGCAAGTGTTGCCAAAATAAGAACATTTATACACATGTTAATCTTATTATTATCTGACTGTAAAATACACTGCTCTGGGTCTCTGTCTCTCTATCAGAGGACAGCTGTCCCACCCTGCCCCAGCTTTTCCCTTCTATCTCTGTGTCTGTCTCTTCCTTTCCTTTCCTCAATCCCCAGCTGCCCCTACTCAGGAACCAGACTACTCTTTAGCCCAGCTGGATGCAAAAAGAGAGAAATATTTATAGATCCACACATTTAAATTTGGCAAAAATCATATTCCCAGGTTATGAAGGGATATTCTATATTTGAGAAGGAAATAAATGTTTTAAGAGTTAAGTAGTTTCTCCTGGCTGGCATGGTTCAGTGGCTGAGCATCAACCTATGAACCAGGAGGTCACAGTTTGATTCCCAGTCAGGGCACATGCCTGGGTTGTGGCTTGATCCCCAGTGAGGGGCATGCAGGAGGCAGCCAATCAATGCATCTCTGTCATCATTGACGTTTCTCTCTCTCCTCCTCTCCTTTCCTCTCTGAAATCAATTTAAAAGTATGTATTTTAAAGAGTTTAGTAGCATTTAGATATTTTATATTTCCTATGGTATTTCATATTTCAACTTTAATTGCAACTACTAAGCAATTACTAAGAAACACTGAAATCATCTACCTATCAAAAGCATATACAATGAAGGTGGAACATGTGCATCTTTATAGCTAACAGCTACTTGTTTTCAATTTAAGAAAAGGAGAGAAAGGTCAACAGAAGCTAAAAGTAGATTTTCAAGTAGATTTTTCAAGTAGATTCTCCATGGTCCAAATTATTAAAAGTGTAAAGCTTTCATGATTCTGTTTCATTACCAAAATAAATACTCTCTGTTAAGAAAACCTGGTAAAGCCCATGTTTCCTTGGGTAAATGGCATTTAGCTCCACTTAGCACGGCCAGCAGCCTAGAGAGAGAAAATGGAGAGCTGACACTAATCTGCTGCACAATGTAAGGAAAAAATCACCTGACCTCCCCAGGCACCGCTTCTCTCCCCAACAACATGAAATGAAGATAATAGAACCAACCTAGCTCAAAGGATTGTGAAAAGAGACAATTCAAGGAATGCTTTGAAAATGCTTCCAAATACATTAGCTAAGCAATATCAACTTGGAAGAAATTGCCATATATCCTAATAGTCAGACAAAAACATCACTGAAAACTGAATGTGAACCCAGTGTGGCACATTATAAACACCACCACCCATCCGGCATTTTCAGAGTTTGCAATCTAATTTCATTTAAATATTCATTAACAGTAATATTACTAAAATAAAGCCCAAACATACAAATGTGTGATTCTTAGTCTTGCACCTTAGGATGAATTCCCTCCTACAACCTCTGGGTATATAAAAAAAAAATATGTTAAAATTAATGAAACTATACTTATTGCATCACGAAAGGACAGACATGTGTCTGGGCCAAAGACTGAGTGAGGAATGGAACAGTGAAGTATTCATAATCTAAATTTGTATGAGGGCATCAACTTCACAAAAGCCTGTAAATAATAACAAAATACTATCTAACCCAATAATAAATAAAATAAGAATATGAACTAAAATAAACTTGTGTGTATGTGTGTGTGTCCCATTGATAAAAGGAAGCAACAGGTCAAAGGGATAGGACTTACACTGAACTTACACTGAAGAATAATCTAGCGCTAAGAACTCAGATTAGCTGTATATATTTTTAAAACCCACACATCCAACACACACCCCCACGCAACTGTCTTGCAATGCTGAATGCTACTAAGTCCACAGAGAGTCTTGGAACAGAAACGAGTCTCACTAGGCACAAGCCCAAGTATGATAAGTAACACTCAGCACCTGTGGCCAACACAGAAGTGTGAGGAGAACAGATGGCATACCTGGTCCGATGGTAAGAAACTGATGGCATCAGCAGAACCCAGCAGACGTTTCCCTGTTCAACATCTCCTCACTTCCAAAGTGTCATCTCACTTCCCTTCTAAGTCAGTAAGGCAAATCTAAACTTAACCACAGGATTTCTCCTAAGAGAATTTTATATGAGGAAGCGAAGGGGGAAAGAGCGCCTCAGTCTTAACCACAGGATGAGAGGTTGCCAAGTGAGGGCAAGACGATTGATCTCCAAATCAACAATGTCCACACAGAAGGTGGAGCAGATTTGGGAGTGGGAGGGGATGCATATGAGAAAAGGCTGGACCTACTGTGGATTTAAAAATAATGCAATAAAGATCATGGCACTGCCTAAAATACCAGGTGCAATATTTAGAGGAGATATTTTTCTTCAGAAAACAGTTAAGATTGGCTTTCATTTCCAAGAGAAATTAGAATTTTCCACTATATTTACATTTTTCTGAAATTTAGGTCTTTAAGATAGGTCAAGATTAAATTGATGGTTTGTTCATATAACATTTAAGTTCATATAAAACCACCTAATTGTATTCATTTCTTATTTGGGCAACTGAGTATGTAGATAACTAGTTAGATTTACATGGAATTCAAATTTAACATTCATCAGACAAAAAACAACTGCTACAATTTCTATTTACCTAGATGTCACCATGTTAGTATTTCCTTCTTTTATTTAGATATTAAAAAGGAGATAAGGCGGCTATTATACAAACTGCATTTTACGTATTCAGTGTGGTATCTTAATACTCCCAAAATTTCCTAACCACAAGGTTCTATTCTGTGGAAATAATGAGCTGTGACTCAGAAAAGAAGCCAGCTACCACTGGCCAGTCCTCTTCTACAAAAGGGCAAGATTCCTAGAGAACACCCTCCCCGGCTGCAACGGTGGTGACGTGCTTTGGGACTGTCATTAACTCACAGTGCGCGCCTGTTATTTGACAGAACAACTGTACGGAACTTGTCTGCATCCTCCCCAGGAAAATACAGTGGTCATTCTCATCAAGCGCTGCTGCTCAAGAAATGGCTTCTTGACCATACATTGTATAGGAAACATTGCCACCTAAGTTGACTAGAGGTTTTATTTGTTTATCACACTGTGAGCTTATGAATATTTATAAATGTGTAGATAACAGCATGAAATGACTTCTTAGTAAATACTCATTAAAGAAACCACTTTCCAACTCACTCTCAGTTTGGGAATTTTACTTCAAGACTTCTCCTGTAAACCTAAAAAAAAAGGCTTTTAAGTTGTTGGTAAGAAGAACTTGCCTAGCAGACTACAGATAACTCTCAGCTATTATGAGTTAGAGAGCTTTATATAACCTTCAATCTAGAATGGAGGATTCTCACCTTCCTATTTAACAATTATCTAGCAAGACAAACCAGAGACATTCAACTCCTGATAAGTCTTCCAGTTCAAAGAGCAGAAAAGAAAAGTGATCTACAGTCAAACATATGTGGGCTTCCTACTCAAGGAGAAGCCATAAAATTTAAGGAACAAATAAACAAATATATTTGCTGGCCATTCTCCTCAGCTTGAAGTAACAGTCCTTCCAAATGCTATCTGAAAAACCCTGAAAAGAAAAAGCCAGAATCCTGGCCAAAGCAATTCAAAAATCATAAATACCAAGATTGTACACAATCTTTGTTTTTAAGAACAGTAACAAGTGGAAAGCTGAGATGCCCAACAACCTTGAAATCATGGCAGTTTTCAATCAGTCACATCAATAACGTTTGTGCAACACCATTCCACTTGGGGGTTCTTCCCATTCTCCATCCCTGATACAATACAATTAAATCTGCCACTCCTGATCAGGCCTGGGGATCTGACCTGCTAGTCTCACAGTGGGGAGGAAGCACTCACCTCACAGAAGAGGGTAAGCTTGTCATCAGGGAGAAGCCCGTTGGCTTCATCCAAGAGAAAATCTCTACGGATGAATTTTTTGAATCCCCAGTCCTTGCCTTGCACAAACCTATATGCCCGTTGACTCTCTGAGGTGAGAAAAAAGTTATATTTAGGGTTACTCAAAAAACCAGATCAAATCTACAACTTGTCAGTGTATGAAGTTGCTGGATGTGAAAATAAAGGATTGAACAAAAAAGAGAACATTTACCCATAGCTTTGGTTTCTTCTCCCTTGGCATTCAGGATGGAGAATTTGAATTTTGCCCGAACTTCACTCTTTGGACAGCTGACCAGTAATAGGTAAAGTGACAGGTAATCTTTGCTTTCTTCATCTAAACCTTTTGGGTTTACTCTCAAACACCTGCCCAAAACAGACAGGGGGAAAAAATGTTGAAAACATTCATGCTTATAGGCTGATGAAATGAGAGGAGAGAACTAGAACATCAGAATCCAGAGAGGGAGATGTTTAAAATATAAACAAGCTCAGGCCCCATAACCACTCTATTAAGTTTTGATTTAATAGAATGACTACTTTGGAGCTACTTTTTTAGAGCAACCTGAGTCAACTAGAATCTGAAAACACATCTCTGCCTCTTTCCTCATAATCTCCCAAATCACTTTTACCCCCTAAAATATTTTAAAAGTCAGGCTATCCTAATCCTCAATCTCAGGAGAGGCAGCCCCTAATTTTGTTGGGACTATGGTGAAACCATGACAAAAATGTCAACAAGCCCTTAAATATCACCTTGGGAAAGAAAAAGTATTTGAGAGAAATATATGAATAGTACCCAATCTTTTACAGACACTTTATCAATCTGGCAATAATATTTATAAGATTAAAATAAAAGAGGCAGCAAGGAGAGAGCATAGATAAAAGTGAACTCCGAGGGTATAGCTCCAAGCTATATAGTCAGAGATGCCAATCTGTTACCAATGAATCAAAACAAAATTCAGACAGAATTTAATAGGTTCAACTGAGTTAAGTTGTAAATGTCAGTTGAACTGCATGTGGTTTAGATACTGCTTCTACCAGATAGGCCATATGCATCCTAAGGCCTTGCCAGTGTTACGACACCTCTCACGAACAGGTGGTTCAATTCAATGCCTCTCTAGGGAGGGCATATGCCACTTATATCACTATACATTGTGTTAAAGATATAGATTTAAATATGATGCCTATGAATAAGCATTCTCTCTCAACACTTGGTAGTACACTGCTTAATGTATACAGCCAACAAACACTAAATGGGGAGCTATTTAACTTCCAGTGGGTTATCAGAAGTCAAACTGGTGGTTCACTGTTCTGGTCTTTGCAGTGAGCATATGATTACATTCTTAACTGCCTGCTCCTCCTCAAGAGGACACTTGGTTTAGATGGTACTGATCCTTATACAACAGGGGTTAATTGGTGGAATCCAGACCTAAATCAATCAGTATATGCATGACATATTCCTGGCCACACAGGTAGTTCAGAGGAAGTTCAAAGACTTGTGTTGGATGGTGGTGGGTTATGCCCATTACTAATTCAAGTGCTCCTTCAACCACAAGGGAAATTAGACTTGAGATCTCCAACAGCATGGAGAGCAGGACTGAGCAGAGAGAAAAGGGGCCTTAACCTAAACACTAGAATGCTGGATTGAACTAAGCTTCAAACTATCCTACACCCTGTGTATTCGTTACATAAGCAAATAAATCTTTATTTTTTAAAAACAGGCAATTTAAAAGAGACTGTATGTTAAAATCTAGATTTCTTGCTTTTCTTAATCAGAAAGTATGGCAATGGTCAGCCCTTATTCATATATAGCTACAGTCAGCTGGATCTCAGTGACCACTGCCCCTTTTAGAAGGACACTAGCTGGTTTGCCTAATAGTCAACACTTACACCAAATATGGATTATCTGTTATAACACTGGCCCTCTTTACTCATTTACTACAGCCATTTGAACTTGCAGATTCCTGATATACTCATTAAATTAATTCAACAATTACATAGCAAGCACTTATGTGTATCAGGCACAGCCATAGACACTGGGGAATTTTAAGTACAAAGTTCCTTTTCCCAAGGATCTTATGTTCTAGTCAATCTCCCCATAAAACCAAGCAAAACAGGCAACTTTTAGAAAAATTTTTATAGCTAGATGTATTCTTCCTCACCATTTCAGTTTATCATTGGCTCCTGATGAAAAGGTTGAGCTTTTAATGACTTCACCCATTTCCTCCCGGCAAAAACTAAAGTTATTGATGGTCCACATGTAGGAGAATTTCACTACCTTGATCTGTTGATAGAAAACCAGGAAGTAATTAAATAAGTGGGTGACTTAAAACACAGGCTGAAGATCAGATCATTGTTTCCCTCCTCCCTCCCTCTACATGGTCCCAGAGGAAGATAGCACTATTTGGCCAGCATGGAGGCTCAGCTTTTCTCTCACCCACGTTTTTAAAATACATGTTTTTACTGATTTTCAGAAAGAGAAAGGAAGGGAGAGAATAAGAGATAGAAACATCGATGAGAGAAAAATATCAATCAGCTGCCTCCCGTACACCCCCCCCCCATAGGGGATTGAGCCTGAAACCTGGGCATGTGCCACATGAGTCACGCCAGCAGGGATACTGAATGGAAAGTGGGAAAAACATGGACAGGAGTGGGAAAGCAGATGACAAAGATTGAGATATTTATTCCACTACCTGGGGTCGAAAATCTCAAACCTAGTTTCCTTTTGAGTCGCCCAACACAGGAACACATTTCCATCAAGAAGGATGTAAGTGGATCTAATTTCAGAGTCCCCCCTCTAATCTCCAGTGAAAGACCATGGCCTAGGGTATGCAGATTCCACTTGGAGAATCAAGGAATGGAAAGCTGACAAATATCTTATCTATCTACTATTTGGCAGGTATGTCCCTGAGAAAGCAGAAACCCAACGCAGAAAGAAATCTTATTCCTTTCGCCCATCAAATCCTCCCAATATGCCAAGATTTACAGGGCGAAAACATAACTTACCTGTGTGTAGCACCAGCTCTCAGCTACAGGGCCACTCGACATTTCTGCCGGAGGTGGAGGACTTGGAACCCTTGACATCGCCAGTTTGAAGGTTAAACAAGATTTCCAAAATCAGAAGACAAAGATTTCTGTTTTCTTTTCACCCTGGTTGGCACAAGAAGCAAAAGGATGTTTTAGATTAATGGCACATGATCCTATTATTTCTGTTTGACCTTCTAGTCTAGACAGAGACTGGAAACTTTGTCTCCTGCCTAAAATTCTCTGCTCTTATTATTCAAATAGCTACTTAGAAGTCTGATCCCAAACTTAAGTGTTAACCTCGGAGAAGATCGCCTAATCTAATATAGTCTACTAATAATTCCAGCACCTTATTTTAATCCTCTGCACAATACTTAACATTATCTTACTGAATGAATTTACTCAGTGGGCATATGAAGTACATCTTACTGAATGAATCAACGGGCATATGAAGTACATCTATGGAAAGGCTGCCTGAAGAGGAGACAGCACAGTGAACACCACACACACTATGCCACCAGCTCCTTCACCTGAGACACAAATACTCTACTCCTGAGGGGAAACTGATCTTGTTACCTCTCTAACCACTGTCTCGTCTTCTCTTATACTTCGGTACAAACTAATGAAGAGTAGGTTTCTATTCCTCAACCCATTGCTAGCTGCTCTCTTGAAGGGCAACATGTACCCTTTTCTTACATGTGTTACTTGCTCTGCAGCAGAGATTTCTCCTCACTTACACCCCATCACTATTCAATTTTCCAGATTCTTCTCCTTGCTCTTGTGCTCTCTGTTCTATGAACATTCTTCAATCTCTTTTGTTGGATATTCTTCCTCCACTATTGCTCCCTATGTTTTAATCCTCAGTCATTTTCTCAATTTTCCCAACATTCTCTTTCATGCAAATTTTATCCATCCCAACAGTGTCAAATTTCTGCCTTTATAAAAATATTCCCCCCAAATCTCTCTCTAACTTTGACCTCTGTCATAAACCTCAGACCATTTCAAATAACTGCTATACATCTTAGCAGGGTGTCCCAGCAGAAAATCAAATTCAATTCAAAATTCTCCCCTCCAATGCCACTCAAAAAATGGGTGAATTAGGTTACAATTTTTTAAGTATTATTAACAAAGCCAAACTGGGGCGGCGACGACTCCTTGCAATACATGACAAAGAAATAATTTCATTAATATATGAATTGGGCCAGGACCGGTTTGGCTCAATGGATAGAGCGTCGGCTTGGGGACTGAAAGGTCCCGGGTTCGATTCCGGTCAAGGGCATGTACCTTGGTTTCGGGCATATCCTCAGTAGGGGGTGTGCAAGAGGCAGCTGATCGATTACTCTCTCTCATCAATGTTTCTGGCTCTCTATCTCTCCCCCTTCCTCTCTGTACAAAATCAATAAAATATTTTTAAAAATATATATATGAATTGGTAGTATGTAAATTGTTTCTATAATATCATTAAGAAAAAGGCCATCTACCTTTAAAAACTGGTTACTGAGCCTCACCTTCGGAGTTTCTGATTCAGAGGTTTGGAATGAGCCTCTAAATTTGCATTTCTAATAAAGTTCCCACATGATTTTGATATACTGGTCCTGGAACCACATTTTGAGAATCACTGCCCTAGAGAAATTGCACATGGACACTAGAACACATAGATTAGGATATTCAATGTCACATTGTTTATAACAATGAAAAAACTAGAAGCAAACTGAAAATCCATTCAAAGGATATCTAAATTTATATATAAATATATATTTCCAATATAATAAAAGAGAAACATGTAAATTGGCCATACCTCTGCTATGCTCACCAGCCAATCAGGAGTGAGCATGCAAATTAACATGACAAAGATGGCAGGCTAATTTGTATACACAAACACTGGGCAGAGAGCAGAACGGTAGAGCCAGCTGAGAATGGAGTGGCTTGGAGAACTTGGCTCCCCAAACCACCAGATGGAAAGCAGAGAGGGAGAGCTGGCTGTTTGGAGGACTTGGCAGAGCAGGAGGCCATGGGACAGAGACAGATAAGGAAGGAAAAACTCAGAGTGCAGGGAGTACAAGGAATTCTGGGAGTAGTAGTCCTGGTAGCAGCCTCAGGATCAGAAGCGGAAGCCCAGAGTGCGAAGAGCACCAGGAATGCTGGGAATCATACTTCTGGTGGCAGATGAATCTCCTAGACACTAGAGCAAAGTGAGCCTGGAGCAAGTTACTGTGGCAGTGAGGGATGGAGGGAAAGAAAAGGTGAGAGACATAAGTAAAATCAGAGTGTCTAGGAAAAATTAAAGGGAAGATACCCTAAAACTTCCAGGAAATCTCCAACAATGAAGCAAAGGAAAAAAAATGCCTCTTATTCTGTGGGCAACAAACCAAACTAGGTTGAGGTCTCAGACAATTCGTTCATATGATTGCGCCCCACGCAGCCTGCTTGTTCAGTCATTTGGTCATCCCTCGCTAACTTCGCTGTGGGCCTCGTTGCCCTATGCAGCCTGCTTGTTCAGTTGTTTGGTTGTCCCTCACTAACCTCCCTGCTAGCCTGGTAGTAGGCAGCCATCTTGTGAGGACATGAGGGTTAATTTGCATATTACCTCTTAATTATATAGGATTATGTTGTCTTCTTTGCTTGGCTATTAAGAAGCCCTGAGACAAATCTGTGACCTATCTTTTGAAACTACAGGTTGTTCTATATGCTATAGTCTATACAGATTCAAATGCTCAATCTATAATAGTTTTATTATTTACTTAACATTGTTATTCCCTTTATTATAATTCCTTCAACTGATTATTCTTTTTTATTATGTTAAAGAGTTTTTGGAAACTGCCTCAAAACATTTGGAGAAATAGTTATAAATGAATTACAAAAAAATACTCAACTCATACATAGTCACTAACACTTAAGTAATAACTAGAGGCCCAATGCATGAAAATTCATGCAAGAGTAGGCCTCCCTTCCCCTGTCTGCTGGCACTGGCTTCCCTCCAGCATGCGGGACCTGGGTTACTTCCCTCCTCCGGCCACCCGCAGGCACCAGGAACCTGGGCTGGCTTCCCTCTGGCCCTGGCTTCCTCAGGAAGGACGTCTGGAATGACATCTGGTCTAATTAGCATATTACCCTTTTATTATTATAGAAGATCATGGAGGGGGAGTAATTACCCTCAGAGAGTAATACCATTGGTCTAACCAGAGTCACCACTGGTTTTAAACACTATTCTACAATCATTTACAAATAAAGCATCCCATATAATCAGAGATGGAGTTAATCTTAAACATGATGTGCTATTTCACTTAAGTTAGCAAACTAAGCATTGCATTGGCATTTGAGCCTCCTTGGCTGGTGCAATTCCTGATTCCATGAAAACATCAAGAAAAGAGACCAGCCAAAACCAGTTTGGCTCAGTGGATAGAGCATTGGTCTGTGGACTGAAAGGTCCCAGGTTCGATTCTAGTCAAGGGCATATTCATTGGTTGCGGGCACACCCCAGATTGGGGGTATGCAGGAGGCAGCTGATCGATGATTCTCTCTCATCGATGTTTCTAGCTCTGTATCCCTCTTCTTCTCTGTAAAAATCAATAAAATATATTAAAAAAAAAAAAAAAAGAGAGAGAGATCAAATGCTACACGGGATCACCTATGATCAAGGTAGGCTTACACTGGAGGGAAAACACATTCTCACAGAGCTGTTTGTCTAGCAATGAGTAAATCACCATAAAGCAGTTTTACAAATCCCAGTTACCATTACTGCCAATAGAGGCCAGAATAAAATTTTAAAATCTTAAAAGATGTGAAATTACATGTTAGGTAAGCACATAAAATTTGGCTCTAGAGGTGTGGGGTGCAGGCTCAGCTCTATCCTGAGCAATCATAACATACTAATCTGAGCTTATCTTAAAGTTTTAAAAATACTTCAAATTTATCTAATAATTAACAACTTAAGAATTCTCTAGGTCTAAGAAAAGAACAAATTTAAAAACCTGTTTATTTTAATGGTTTAATTGTGCCTATTGAACTATAGTCCATTATTACAACCAGAAGAAAAAAAAATACTAATTTAGTCTTGGCCATTTTTTTTTCTTTTTTGCTTCTCACTCATTTTGTAGCCAAGTCTTTTATTGTTGTTGTGTGTGTGTGTGTGTGTGTGTTTTTTTTTTTTTTAAATAATATCACCTTTCTTCCAATTTTAAAAAAATGTCCAACCTGGTAGCTAAAAGAACTGCAGAATCAGCCTTAGGTTCTGAGGAGCTCTAACCACACAACCTGCTGAGAGGGAAATTGATTAGGATAGCACAAGTCTAATTAATTTCACTCATAGCAGGCACCATGGGCAAAGTGTTGATCAGCAAAGCAGCCTGGTGTTACATGAACTCGCTAGCACTTTACGCCAACCTCGGCAGATACCCAGCAGAAAAACAATTTTAGAAAAGAGGAGGTCTATTTGAGGGTCATGGTTTGAGAACCTGCGTAGGAGACAACAAGCACCAAAATATATTGTTCCCGGCTTCCAACAAGTTAGGACAAACTGTCAAGTTCTCAAATGAGAACTTTATTCTCCAAAGCTTAGCAAAACTTCCCAGTATGTTGACAATTCTGAGGCTGAACATATCTGTTATATACCACCACTTACTTTCCTGTTCACTCTATTAAATCCTGACCTGTGAGGTTACACTTCTTCTGAGTAGACCAAGAAATATACTTAAAATACCTGTCAACTGCAATACTGCTCAAAATTCCAATGAAGGTCATATCAGATAGCAACTAATAACAATCTCTAACAGAATAGAATGTTTCCTCGCAGCTATTACGACGCAGATACTTTCACTGAACCTACACAGCGCACTTTTTTCTGCCTTCCTTCACACTCATGAGCACTTCTGTGGCCTCTAGCAGACTTTAACTAGAACTGTTTCTAGTTAAAGTCTTGCAACTGTTTCTTAGATCCCCTTCGCCACCTAGCAGCCTGCCTGGAACAAGGCATTCAGCAAAAATACTTTGATGGCTGAAACGTTTATCCAATTGCATTCAAGTCTATTAACTTTTTTTCTGTTTGTTTCTTTCACGTATCT